TAAATAAAAAGAAATTTATACATTTGTTGTGCATTTAATAAATACATGTAATACTGGATATGAGCACATATCGAATATAATTTACACCTGGGTCGTAACGTCCAAACCAGGTGTCGTAAGCGACCAGGGCCTGAACGTCCTGATACCTGCTATAATTAAATCCCCTACCTTCCACAATGATTAGAAAATGTCCTAGCCCTACGCATTATTTCATATGGGCTGTCTGTGATTTTCCCCAAGTTCATATGTACATAATGTTTTGAGTTGGGGCCTAAGGAATTCCTAGCAGTTTTTATAGCATCTTCAAAAACCAAACAACAACACAGCCCCTCAACAACAACAACAACAACAAATTACATCATGAAACTGCTAAACTTGGATTTGCAAAGCAAAGCGACAGTTAATCTCAACTTTCAAACAAAGGATCTCTACTTCAAATTTCTCACCTTAAAATATTGCTTGCAAATTTCAAAAGAAGTTCAGTAACATCAAGAAAAACAGCTGTTTCGTTTTCCAACAGCTGGCCAATAACAGTGCCAACATCATCGCTGGACGCCGCCATGATTGATAATGGTTTACGGAAGTAAGAACGACTGAACTTGTCAAATTGACACTAGATGGCGCACAATTTTTTCAATTTCCGTATTCAAATGAAGAAATGCCTGTTTAGCTCCAGCAACAGAACGCATTCTGTATTATCTAATTACTATGTATTTACAGACTGAGTATATTGAAGCCCAGAGGCGTGGGACGACATCCTACCGTCTATCCTACCAGCGTCGGCTCAAAGCGCCCTCAAGTGTTCATCTCTAAACCGGAAGTCACTTGTTCGCAGATAGATAAAATATCGCCTTGTCAAGGAATTGAACTGTTTGGGGATCGATTGGTCATAATTTTCAAGTAGATCAACAATTTATGATTCTCCAACATTCATACAATCTTTAAACGTCATGGGGAAGCGTGACACAAGAGTGGTAAGTTTTCTTTCGATCAAAAAAATTCGTGTTTTGTATTTTTCATTTTTTTTTTCGCGCTTATCGTCATTAACACAACTTTGTTTATTAACATGACACTTGCAGTCTTATGTAAACCCAATTGCCATGGCAAGGGCTAGAGGACCTAAACCATCTGCAGGACCGACTATCCAAGACTATCTATCGAGACCCAGACCAACGTGGTAAGTGAAATAATGTCTCGGGGAAAGTGCCTTTTGTTTTAATTTTAGGAAGAAACAAAATGGAGACCTTTTGCTCTCTTGTTTTGGAAATGATTGTTTTTTTTCCATCACAATGAAAGTCGATGAAACCATGGAAGTACCTTCCATGATGAAACGCACTAGAAAAAAGATTAAAAACAGGATTGGTTGCCACCAGTGTTTGTTTTTACATGTTTTGGTAACACACTGATAGAGTTCACTTTATTCAAACACAGAAAAAAAATCCATGGAGGAATTGGAGTAGTTTAAAACATAAGTCATTAAAGTTGGGAATGCACTTTGTCATGTCTTCAAATTGTAGTTCTCTTCCGAAATTTGAATTTTATTTTCAACCTCATTCATGTGATAAAGCTCACATGATCTATTATCTACTGGTATTTTGACCGAGTACATGTATTTCTCTCTGTTCCTATTTTTAGTCAAATGGAACATAGTAATGTTTTCTCATATTTCGTCATTTGTTAGTGTTGTGGAGAATTTTTTCCTGAATAAAATTATTGTTATTTCCATATTAGGTTTGTTTCTTTGTAATTTCATTTGTCCTGTATGCTTCAGTTTCCAACCATTGAGTTGTCTCCCCTGTGCAACTGCCAGACCGGATTAAGTGGTTTGCTGTCATGCTACTGATCGCTAGCTGTTATCAAAATTTACAAATGAAAATTTGCAGCAACATTAATATATGAGCAAACTTAACTCTCTTACGTCAAGAAATATGCCCACTGGCTTAACACGACCTGCAAATCAAGCCAATCAGAAACTATAGGGCATCTCCAAATAATCAGCTTGCAGTTGAGGTCAACATTGTTTGTGGGATTTCAACCTTTTTTTACCTGTAAAGCCTTATTTTTGTAGCAGTTAATAAAAATTGTTATGTTTGTTTTTGATAAGGGATGAAGTGAAGGGCCTAATCAAAGATCAACAGAATTCTAAAGGTGGTTCCAGTGCTTTGGCAGAATGGGAAAAACAAATGAACGATGTGAGTAGCACTATTCTCATTCAAAAATGTATTTATCAGCCATTTTGGAGATGTTTCAGGCCATCTGGGAGTTTTGTTCTTCTAATTTAATTTGTGCCAGGCAACAGTTATTTTTAGACACAGTCGTGCAATAGATATCATTGGTGTCACATTTGCTTATTGTCAATGCACATACCGGTACTGGATATGTGCATGTAAATTGTATGTACATGAAATCTGTCTAGGTGTATAAGCATTAATATTCCACTATGATGATACTCTGAACTCCACAGATTATAAGACTTCAGAACTACTGTGTCTGGCTTAATTATTTGCTGCTTATTTAACTAGCATTTAAATGTGGTAAATTGAACCCTAGTGGTTATTATATTTAACAATACAATATAATGTACTAAGTATTGTGTAGTTCTGGATGCAGCTTATATACCATAATACTTTTGAAGCATCAAATTTGCTAAACTTAATTAAACCCAAACTGAATATTTCAATTTCTATGGAGCAAACAAATTTATTCTCTGATCCAGAAATTTAAGGAAGATTTGAAACAAAATCGAGAAAGAATTCTAGGAGACTCATCAACATCCAAAGAAAAGAAAAAGAAATCTAAAAAAAGGAAACGTGAGAGGGTGAGTTCATTCACATTTTGTAATTTATCGTTTAAGGATGCTGTATAGGCTTTTTTGCTTTGAAACCCAAAATTCTACTTTTTTGTATTTTTCAATGCTGAACTCTAAGGAGCAAACACTCATTAGGAAAAAAAATTAATTGGGTGTTTTATAGGGAGTAAAAACCCATTTGTATTAATTAAAAACAAAAGCACATGGCTTTGTTTTGAATCCCATGTTTTAATTAATCTCTAATATCTCTCTATTTATAGGGATCAATTATTTTAGATTTGTAGATGTTCAGCCTAAGATAGGATTTGAACTACCGATCATGAATGAATCTGATGCGACAACCACTATGCTAGTACCAGAGAACGTTTAACATTGATTGCATTAAACATTTTTATGGCGAGTCTCAATAGAAAGTTGTGTACATTTATCACAAAAACAGACTAGTACCTGTTCAGAATGATAGTTGTTAGTACATGTATTGGGGATAGGACAATGAATATGCAATAATAGTTAACTATGATGTGTCATTTGCAGCTAGCAGAACAAACATTACCAGTTCATTATCTTGAAAGTTTTGAACACCAACTTACTAGATTTTTGACTTGTTTCTTTTCTTCAAGTCACCTTCATTGTCTTCCTCAACAACAAGATCTTCTTCCTTTAGCAGAGTGCCAGAAGAATATTCTAAGGTAAGTGGTGATTTTTTTTTCAATCGGTGCTATGGTAATATAGTTGCTAGGCTACTGTACATGTGAGTGTCAATCATACCAGCCAAGGGTGCTTACTATATTTCTAGTATAATAAAGAGAAAATAAAGTTCCAGCTTCAGTTTCGTACTGAACATGTCAATATCTTGGTTATCAATGAAAACAATTGGGTTCACTGTTGTGATGTGGATAAATGTACCACAACAACTAGACTCAGCGTAACCTGCTACAAATGAGTGAATATCCTAACAGTATAAAGCATGTACAGTAAATTACCTCATAACCATGTAACCGTCAATCATGTTAATTATTCACATCACTGCTTTTCACATACTCAGTAATATACTGACCGGAGAACTTAAAATTCAATTCAGTATTTCCCCAGAAAAATAACATAGCATATATTGGCCAATTTGCATCCCTATTACCACCTATATTGAATTATTACCATAACAATACCATTAAAAATGCCTTGTAATATACATTGTATGCATCAAAGGCTTATTTTACAAAATTGCAAAAAATCGTGTATAATCGTGTAATTCACTGCGACTCCCCTGTCTCGTGAACCCAAGGAAAGAGCAGAATAAAAAACATACAAATCACTAAAGAATTTGTTACATGCATTTTTTTTCTGTAGAAATCTAAAAAGAGGAAAAAGCATCGTCACCATAGTAGCAAAGATGAAGATGATAATCATGGCCAAAGAAGTTCTCCTGAGGTATGGTTTTAAATATGGATTCAATTTCACAATCATTGAAGCATAGCCAGCCTATTCTGTATACCACATGACATTGATTGAACCCGAGAGTCTATTAAACAACGGTACTTGTTTGGGATTGCCCATACAGATTACAGCAATCAAACTGCATATACAAAATTTGGTACATTTTTGCTTGTGTACTGGCTCTTCTAATAGAAACAGAGACAGAAAATATGTTATTTATAAAAATTCAAGTTAACATTTAAAAATACTCTTCAAACATTAAAATAAACCAATATAAGTTAAAATTGAAACTGAAATTTTCTATTTACTCTATCAGTAGCATTATTACATAATTAGTCAAAACTTTGTGTTTTTTATGCTCCAGTATACAATACATGCAACTATTTGTTAACATGCTTCTAGTGGAGATGCAGTT